TTTCCGATTTCAATGGAAATGAAGATGCCCAACTGGTCAGATTTCAAAACATAAATCAAGAAATGATTCCATGACAGGCATTCACTCCGATTGTTTTTGTTTTTTGAGGTGTGAGTGGGGGGGGGGTGTACTGGACTGACATAAGACAAGGGCGGTGGCCCGCAGTCCTAAATAATTGCAGCCATTAGCCGTGACTCGGGTGCGGCACGCGAGGCGCAACTCTGAGCCGCCTCGCCGTCGTGGGCCAAAAAGTGCCATCGTGCGCGCGACGCTTGCACTCGCGAGCTCCGGCCGCTCGCCAACGAAAACCTCAAAGCGTTTGCCGACTGCCAGCGTATTGAAATTGCCCCCCCCCCCCCCCCGAAAAAAAAGAGTGATCATTTTCCTCTGGTTGAGATGGCGACATGATCCTCCTTTTCCATTGGACAGGGCGACAGGCCGGAAACGGAGCTCCTCCTCGCACCTGGACATAGTTCGCAAAAACCACACGGCGAAGACTTGAGCTGGCTGCGGCACGCTTGGCAACCGACGCCAAACGCAAGTGTGACATTTTGGGACCGGCGTCGGCGAGGCTTCGACTTGTTTGGCGGCTTGTCAGGCGACAGCAAACTAATATTTTGTCGTCTGTTTTTCAATGTGTTGTCTCATCCTTGATATGACTTGAAATATTTCCCGATTTCTTGGCATCCCAAAGAAAATTGAGAGTGGGCACTTGTCCGACGACTTGGTTTGTTGTTGTTTTAACGAACATCACCAACTGAGGCTGCAGCATTCACGCATGTGACTTTCACATGAGACGTTCAAAGTGGGTCTTTTTTTTTGGGGGGGGGGGGGTCCAAACAGGCCTAATGGTCGCCTATCGGGTGTCAATGTCCATTTCCTTCTGGCCGTCAAACGGAGCAATTTGGGCCATTTCCTGGGCTGTCTTGGATTACGGTCACAGCTTGATCCACTTACTTTTTTTTTTTTACTTTGACGCCGTTGCAAAAGCGCCGCTCAACCTTTGCTCGTTGCTCAGGAATGTGCGCGCATTCGCTGCCTTTGCACCATCTGAAACACACGCCGCCTTTGGCCCGAGGCTCGCGAAGTGGGGCTTTCGCCGAAAGGTTTCGAGCCAACGCTTTCAAAGTGGGCCTTCGGGAGCGGCCGGCCAACTCATCGGTGCCCCCGACCCCCCACTCCCCCCCAACCTCCAAACCAAGCTTGAAACTCCATTGCGAATGACTAACCTTGGCTTGAAAACCAAACCCGAATCCTGACTTGAAGCCCCGATTGGAAACCCCGCGGGCGCGAACCACCTCGCTTCTGCAAAATAGCGAGCAACCGACTTGCAAGGTGCACGATTGAATCGTGAACAGGCAACGCGTGAAGCTAAGTGCACGATATAAACACCAGCCGACAAGTGATGTACTTTCCAGGTGACATTAGCGAGGAGAGACGATCAACAACTACCTCCAGGATTTTGCACAGCCTGGCCACCCCCCCACCCCAAAAAAAAGCTTTTCTTCTTCCCTTAACTAATTCACAAAGAAAGAATAAAAAATTCACTTCGCGGTTTTTACGAAGCCATTTAAGCACTTGGGAGACTCATCAGAGGACGGAACGCGATGCCGCGGCCACATCCGAAAAGCCGAGCGGCTTCTCGGCGGTCCAACATGCCGTCGCGCTCACCTGCGTTGTACAACCACAATTCCAACATTTGTGAAATGAGCAACATGACAAGATTTGCCCCAAAATGGACAGTCCATCGAAAATGGCCGATCTTCAACTCGTGCGACCAAATCAGGGCCGTAACGAACGCTTCTTTGTAGTGACGAGCGAGGAGGGAATGAACGAATGAGTGCGACCGCAGGTGCCGGCCTCCTCTCGAATCGGCGGCGCGCCAAAAACGAGAGCGCGTCAAACCGCCGGACCGGCCGAGACTTTTGAAAATCACACCGCGGCTTCCGGACCAAAGCTAAGAAGCTAACATTAGCATCACGGCATTCAACCGAGTCGGCGAGGGCGACGAGGATGATTCATGCGGCGGCCATGTCGCGCGGCGGCATTCCTGCCTCGCAGCGCAGCGGCAAAGCCGCCCCGGATGTCGGCGCCAGGCGGAAAGAGTCGCTCGAGCGACGGCGGCAGCGCGCGAGCCAACTTGGCAGAGGTTGCGCCATCGCGGAAGAGACGGCGAGCCGGCCTCGCCTGGCGCACGCCGCTCATTAAATGGCTGCCAAACAGCGTGGCTTTTGTTGGGTTGAGCGGCATGACTTTTGGATGCCGCTTCATTTTCAACGTGGGTGGAGCCGCCCGCCGCGAAAGCCTTTGCCGAACCTTCGACAACGTCCGCGCGTGCGGCGTCGACCCATTTCCACCTCGGCCGACCCCCTGGGCCGCCGAGCGAGAGCGCGGCCACCCGACGACCGGCCACCTTTGGCCGCGTGAGCGCGCATGCGTTAGCCCGCCCCCGCTTCTGCTTTTGCAGCAGCGTTTGGCTTGGCGCCAGTCGCGCTTCCTGACAGCTCATCACAAACTCGTCATTGTCGTGGCGCTTATCTGAGCCCCGTAATCGTCAGCCGGGTTCCTCTTTCCATGCCAAGTTCTACTTGCTTGTGAGTCGTCGCCCCTCCCCCCCCTGTCAGGTTTCAGGGCCTACTTTCGAGTTGCAGTCAATGTCGGAGCACTTTTTTGGGACGTCTTTTTCTTTTTCTTTCATGGTGATGAAAACAACAGCAAAGCAGTTTGGCTGAACTCAATCGGCAGCACCTCCCCCACCCCCCCAAAAAAAACTGCAACAATTTTACGACCTATACTACTGGTGTAGACTGTATGATGAGTTTTTAGGTGAGGGGGGGCATTTGTAGGCGTAGTTCAACAAACCGCAGTGAGCTAAAAACAAAAAGAGTTTGGCCGCTGTCTGAGCGGGTTGAATAGAGGGCAAGCGGAGCACAACTTTCAACTCATTCGTGGACGGCCAAGATAAGCAGCTGCATTAAATCCACATATGGACGTGACAGAAGGTTTCGAGGAAAAAAAAAATTTGACACTCCAAGTAAAAACAATCGTTTTTTTCTTTGTTTGCGGAGATTCTCTTCAGTTGAGGTCATAGCAATCCGGTTGAATATGGGCAAACGGTCTTTTTTTTTTTTTTGGAGGTGGGGGGGGGCGTTCTGAAAACGGATCCCATTTTTTTATCATGCGGCGTGCGGGCATGCGGATACGAATCGGACATGTACGCGACGCTCATCCGTATACATCCGAGCCCACTTGAATTTTATGAAGCGGAAAGTTGACATTGTCGTGATCATCGGGATGCAGCCACGCAGACGCCAATCTTCAGTAGCCGCCTCGGTGAAATGAGGAGATGGAGGAGCGGCGCCGCAATAGTTCTGCCTCCTCCAGATGAGAAAAAGTGGAGCCCCCCCACATGCCGGAGCTTATTTACTATTTTTGTGCGTGTCACTGGACGGACGTCGTGCTTGGTGCACGCAAGTGCGTGTCACCTCACCCTTGCGTTCCGTTCACATGAGCGGTGATGTTTCTTATTGTCACGTCAACGAGTACATGCAAACATTTGTTTTGTGTTTTTTTTACAGCTATTAAGGAAGTGACACCAAATAGAGAACGCAATCGAGTGAACTGCTTTTGCTTGGATAAGAACACAAGCCCTTACGGGACAGTCCAACCCCTTTTTTTTTCTTTCTTCGGTGCGCTTCATCCAGTATTGTATGCTCCGATATGAACAAAGACGTCTCTTTCTCCAGGTTGAGCGGCCGATGAGAAGGTGAAGCCTGGAGGTGGCTCGTCTGACCTCTGAGTGAAAGATGCCTCGGCGCTCCCCTACGGAGGGGGTCTCTGCCTGCGTCTAATCCTGAGCTGGAGGCAAGACTGGAACCAACCACCCCACCCCTCCCTTACCGCTCGAACTGGCCCAGTTGGCCCGACCTCCTCATCCTCCACTCACGTGCACACCACCTCGGGGCAAAACTGCAGACGAGACAATCAACGCGAGGTTGTTTTGGATTGGCCAAAGAAGTCCATTGGAGGACAAATGGAGCCGGCCATAATTGAACCTTGCCAAGTCCCCCCTGCTAAAAAGCTTGTGAACGGTCAAAAATTGGAGGACAGCAGGAGTCCATTTGCATCGATAAATGCTCCAAAGACCCGTTTCGGGAAAGGAGCAACATACACGACAGCAGGGGTGTCCGATAGCGCCAACACTGAACATTTCTTTGCTACCACCACAACGACAAGACTTTTTTCCTCTCTCTCTCTCTCACTCTCAGAGCACATCATGAAACTCGTGAAAATTCCTGAGTAGCCCAAGCGTGCTACAGGCTAGTTTCACAGTGTTGAGGGAACAAAAACAGAAACTCTTGACAAGACACTGCACATTCAAGATACTATCACGTTGTTGTTGGGGGGGGGGGGGATTCCCTTCTTAGAGCCCATAGTCACTCAAAACCTGTTTCTTGTTCCATGATAATCCAAGGAATGAACGGCTAAACGCTACAAAAGCTAGCACCTCAATGACAGGCCATGTCACCCTTTGGGATTTGATTTTTTTCCTTTTCTTTCAATGCATAGTGACCTGAAACTGCGATGGAATTCACGTTATCCCGAAGGCACGTTTACCAGCCAAGTGTCAACAGAACCTTTGACCTGCCCGCACACCTGAAGACGTCGCCGTTTGCGGTCCAAACGGATGACGGCAAGGGTTCCATTTTTCAAAATAAAAGAAAATAAACGCCCCGATGACAAGACGCGGCGCACCGGGTCACGCGCGTTTCGCGTGCATGTGAGCGCGTACTAGTGACGGAAAACCGGCCGTGGCCGAGGACCCAGCGGAATCCGTCACGCTTGTCTCGTGGCGCCGGTGTCATTGTGCAGCGTAAACACAACACCGATGAAAGGTGAGCAGGACACGCCTACACGTCCCTTTATTTGCCCAAGCTCAACCGAAACTGCGCGCCTCTCCGGTATCAACAAGATCGATCGATGGGTCGCCGGAGGCGTACCTTAGGAATTCCTGCAGGCAGGTGTCACAGAAGCGATGGCCGCAGGTCGACACTTGGACGGGCTCCCGCATGGCCTTGCTGCACAGCGGACACTGGAAGCGTCTCTTGGGCTTCTCCAGGAACTTGTAGTCGAAGCCGGGCATGGTGGCTCCGACTGCGGCGGGGCTTCCGCTCGGCTTCGGCTCGGCTCGGCTTAGGCTCGGCTCGGCTCCGCTCGACCCGACTCGACTCAACTCGGGCGTTCGCTCGGCCTGGCGCGCGTCCCCGTCCTTGCGTCTCCTTCCTCGCGCTTCAAGCCGACCGAGGGTTCATATCGCGTCCGATCGAGGGATCGCTCTCCGGGGCGGTCGCCTCGGCCACCTCCGGCGTGCAAAAACGGACGCCAAGCTGGAGCAAAACAAGCGGACTTCAGTTGGGGGGGGGTGGCGGCGGGGTGGGGAGGGGGAGCGTCAAGATCAGGCGCCGCGGTGGAGTTGCTGCTGACGGACTGAAGCCAGTGGGCGAGCCCTCCGACTGTTGAGGTGCACCGAGGCCCGCCTCCTCCTCCGCCTCCTCCAAGCGGGAGGAGTCAAGAAGCCGTTCGCACCATCTTAACCCTCCGATCTCGTCTTTCCAGGAGCTTTTGTCCACGTAGGCGCGTGCTCATGTTTCGTACGTTGCTCTTCGGAGCAGGCGGGATGCGTATTTCCTAGTCATCGTGACATGAAATGCAAATAAAGGGAGAAAGAAAGACTCATTCCCCCCCACCCACGAGCAGAAGCGCTACAGTGCCATCTCGAGGTGCAACTGGAAAACAAAGGAGAGACAAATGAATCAAAAAGCCGTTTTGGGCTTGCGCGTTAAAAGGGATAAATGTTCAGTGAGCAACATGCCCATTCCGAGGTTGAGTATTTTGAACGCCCGTTTTCCATGACAGTGGGACGCACGTTCTCCGAGACCAGTTTTCACCTGCTGTCTTGCTCGAGCATTACATCATCATTACATCATCACTAGTGAAACAATGAGCAATGGGGAAACTTAAGCAATAATCTCAAATAAATAACCATAATAAGCACGGGGAGTACAATACGCAATTACGGCAGGTAACGTTATGAAACGTAGCCTCAACATAATACACACAGGCAGACAGAGTTGAAGCTATCGAGACAGGTAGCTATGAAGCTAGGTAGCTCATTAGCTGCTTTAAGGGTAAAACGATAGACATAAGAATGACCCCATATCTTGAGCAATTAAAAAAAAAAATCAAAACCAATCCAACGGGTCAAGAGGATAAATGGAGTGGATGTTGTCTATTTTTTTGTACACAGACGTTCACAAGCCTTTATCCTCTTTGTCCAATGACCAAAATTGGTGTCGTACCGATGAGCTCGGAGAGGAGCTGAGATGTTTTTATGAATCCCACTCGAGTTCGAGTCATAGTCACTTCTAAAGGGACAGGCTGGGACCCCAACCTTCATCGTGGGCTTCGTGAAAGACGTTGTGTCAAAAACACAATCCGTTCCGCTTCGTTCCATGTTGTCTTTTTTGCCCGCATCTCTGATTGATTTCTTGTCATTTTGGTGGGTTTTTGTCTCCACCGGTTCTCATGGGGCGAATAGCTCCCTCCAGCCACCCGCGTGTTGTCCACATGTGTCTCATTGTCCCGCCAATTTATTTATTAGAGTTCCGTGCTTTCTTTCAGTCTTTGTCAGATCATTTTTGTTACCGAGTCCCAATTCTAGTTTGAGACTTTTACATTCTCACAGTTCAGACTCTGTCCCTTTTTACTAACATTTCAGTGACGAGTTGCTTTTTTTGAACGCAAAAAGTACATCCGGCGTGAGTACTTCCGCCATCATCTCGGACTGCCGAACTCAATCAAGCACAATGTGAGCAGTGTGTCCCCGGATCAGCATGCATCAGCACGGGTCATTTGACTGACGACGTGCTAAAAGACTTCACTGTTCTTTGTAGTGTGCATTGTAAACATCTTCATTCACGGGAAGGCTTACGAGGTTGTGTGGGGGTGGAGGCGGGTCTGGGACTGGTTTACACTCTTACGGCGCTTTTGATGGCTCGTCATGCACGTGACGCGGCACAATGGCAGGACGGCGGCCGGCCTGACGCCTTCCGCTCACAGGCCGTCGCGCTAGCCATCGGGGTCCAAACCATCGACAGAGGCCCAATGGAGGCCCGCCGTCCATTTTAAGCGGCCCGCTGGATTCAGTTGTGCCTTGAGGAGCGATCTCAAGTCACCTTTTCCCAGTGATATGAATGCAAATGCCATCCATTCGTTTCAGGCTTCCCCCCCAAAAGCAACAAAACTTGTTGTCAGGTGTATTTTCATGAGGATAAGTAGCAGTCTTCACTATCTGACTTTCTTAAAAAAAAAAAAAAAAAAAAAAAAAAGTCACGACAATGATGTCATGACATGTTTTTTTTTTTTCAAAAGCGCTTCGGTCACACAAACGCTGCTCTCTTCCGGTGTTGCTGCCTTGGCCACCTGGGAGCAGTCGAGGACGAACTGAAATCCTCTTCATGACATTATGACGGCCCATTCTGTACCGACAGACTGGACGTAATTATTTCGAGTTCTGTTCATTTTATTGTCAAATAACCCATAAGCGTGTCGATGAATGAAATGGTTTGACGCTTGCGACGCATGTACCTGCCGTGGACCTTTTTGACTGAGGGAAATTAGTTTTCTCCTTCCATTTAAACTTGATAAAAATGTGTTTTGTCAAAATAAATACAAATTGAGATTAGAGGAAACATTGTGGGGGTTTACTTAAAAAAAACGGAACATTTTCATGACATTTAGTTGAGAAAAATTGGACTTGCTCACTTTTCTGCACGCGATTGTCCTGTTCACGCTCGCTTCCCCATCCTAATGCGTTCTGGAAGGAACATCTCGTATGTAATTACACGTAGCTATGTTTAAAACGCGATGACGTAGGCGCGAGTTTTTGAGGCTTTTGATTTCCATCAACTCGGGTCACCGCTGCACAACTCCGGGATGAGACTTGGTTGTTGGACCCTCATTGTTGTGACATTTTTGGGACAATTGTATGCTTTGTGGGAACGGTTTGGGGAATTTCCCTTTGCTGGTCCCAGTGCACAAAACCCAAAGTGCTCTCAGGCACACGCCCAGATCTTGTCCTAAGTCTTCCTCCAAGAGTGACATCTGTTCCTCCACTCTCATCCCCTCGAGGTGTTTTCGAACTTTTTGTGGATGGTGTCAATTGCGAGGACAAGCGAGTGGCCGTTTGGTCGCGAGGGGCCGGCTTGCGGACGCCGTCATCTCGGGGCGCCTTCATCGAGCAAAGCTGAAAACAAAAAGCAGGAAAAGAGAGAAATGAAACACGAGGAACAACACTTGTAACACACGATCCCTTAACGTGCCAAAACGGACGCCAAGAGAGTCAAGTCGATCTGTAGTTTTTTTTTTTTTTTAATGCGTCATGTTGTCAGGATCAGCCAGTGTGTCCTCTTGATGTGCTGCAGGTCGGCGGCAGCGAGGATTACCAACAACATCTCGATTGCTTATTAAATTGTGATGCACTGTAATCTTCTCTAAATCTGCATCTATTTTTAATGCGCACTCCACTGGCTGGTGCGCACTGCGAATGGATTTGTGGAGTTATTCAATTCGGGATTGTCGTCCAACCCTTCGAGTACAAATGTGGTGGCAATCTAACAAGCGCCCCAAGAAACAGTCAGAATGACGCTTAAAACGGACCACTTCAAACCAAAATGGCTGGCTTGCCGTGTCTGTTCAAGCATGGCTTCTTGAGACATTTTTTTTTTTTTGTGGGTCAAGTCACGACAGATAAATTTTACGGTACTAAGTGCAAGCGGCTTTGGGGGAATACATTCAAAAACCAATAATCATCCACTCTCTTTCCCTCCATAAAATAAAAAAAATCATGGCCGATTTATGCTTGATTTGGTGTTCTATGGCCAGTCCTCAAAGTTCAAAATGTAAAAATCTGTTATCGTCCATCATCTCTCCAGTGTATGGTGCAACTCTGACAGCAAAATTGGACAAACTCTCTCATCGTTGACGTACCGCCAGAAAGGTCCATGACCCTGAAATGGCCACTTCAAAACAAAACGGCAAGACTTTTTGTGTCTTTTGCAGCATGGTTTCATTGGATGTTTTTGTGGGTCTACTCATGACAGACATGTCTACCAAATCTCATGTTGCCACGTGAAACTGGCTTTGGGGACTGAATTAAAAAATCAATTTGTCTGCGACAAGTGTGTCTTTGAAGGACCCCTGAAAGGGCCCAAAATGACCCGGAAGTACAATGGCCGACGACAACCAAAACAACTAACTTTTGATGTCTCTTTGGGAATAGCGACTTGAAACTTCTGGTGGGTCTATTCAAGATAGCCGAGGCCACTAAATTCCATGTTGCGAGGTGAAGGCGGATTTGGCGGCTGGATTTTCAAATCAGGAATTGGGTTGATGTCATCAGAGTAAATGCTGCCATCAAGTTCGGCATTTTAGGCTGCAACAATGTCAAAAAAAGGCCGCTGATTCCTGGAGGACTGTTACAAATGAGAGGATGAACGGCGCTCATGGAGGGATTAGTACGTTGCCCCCCCCCCCCAGAAAAGGCCAATGGGTAAAATATTACGTTTGACTGCCAGCAGGCTGTTGCCATGACAACAAGCCACCGATGTGACGGTGAAGGGTTGGCTCTCGTCCAGCTGCACCGCCTTCGGTATCCCCGAGTCCTCCTCTTTCCTCCCCAGGCGCCCGCGGGCGCCCTTTCCCCACGTGTACACCTCGCCATCTGCCCACAGGGAACAAGAGAGGAGTGGAGGTCGGCACAACACACACGCGTGCACAACTTGATCACTTGCTTTGCCCCATACATTTGGACCAGCATTTAGTCCCCCGGAAAAAAAAAATAGGAATTCCATTTAAAAATCACAGGAGTGTGCTTTTTGAGTCCCCAGCCCAGAGAGTAGCCTGGAGGTGTGCGCCATACACACACACACACACAGATGTCGCTGGGTGTCTCCTGGAGGGGCGACACAATGGCTCCATCTGCCAACAAAAGTGTCCCTTGATGAGCAGAAGCTGCAGGGAAGCAGGTCGACCGCAGCTGCCTTTCACACGGGGGGAGCCAATCACTGGCACAATGTGACATTTCACCATTTGTCCTCCCCCAGCAAAGCATCCGCGCACTTACACGCGCGCAAGGATGGCAACATACACGCGCATTTGCGACACGTCACTTTTCAGCCCCCCCCCCCCGCAAAAAATGTCGCGTTTCCTGTATTGCCAGCCGTTCTCAGTCAAGTGGCACCCCCCTCACCCCGTTCCACGGAAGTGACTGGAAGGGGTGCACATCTCAATCCTCGTGATCTTTTCAGCATGACGTCACACCTACGTATGCGTTGCAAGAGGAGAAGCTTTTCACAAGTGAGCAAGTCCTTCTACTGGATGTGTTATTTGGCCAAGGCGGAGGGAACGATGACTTCGGCGTTGTTTCGCACCGTACTTCGAACGTGGGAAGTGGAGTTGACAAAGTCGACACGAAATTTCTGCCCCGAAGCTTCGCCGGGCGAATATTCAAACAGACATTTCATTTGAATGCGAGCGGCGCAGCCCAAACATCCTCGAGGCCGGGTCACGCTCCATGAGCAC